AAAAAAAAAAAAAAAAGAAAATACAAAAATTATCTGGGCGTGGTGGTACATGCCTGTAATCCCAGCTACTCGGGAGGCTGAGGCAAGAGAATCGCTTGAACTGGGGAGGCACAAGTTGCAGTGAGCCAAGATCACGCCATGTGCACTCCAGCCTGGGAGACAGAGCGAGATTCATGGCAAATCATGAATCATGGCGAATCATGACCAACATGGCGAAACCCCGTTGGTCAGGCTGATAAACTTCTGACCTTAGGCGATCCACTTGCCTTGGCCTCCCAAAGTGCTCGGATTACAGGTGTGAGCTACAGCACCCTGCCGTGTTTAGTACTTTTTCAGGACTCCTGCAGGGAGCTAAATCTGGCCCCCATGCAGGCTGGCTGACTCTTAGCCCCTACCCTGGAGGCTGGCTAGGCTTGAGTTGAATCCTGGCTGTGCCTGTAATAACTGCATACCCCAAAAGAGTGACTTGATGTTCTTGAGCAGCGATTTCCTCATCTGTAAAATGGGAACATGGGTTGCTCCATACCACTAGGCCCCTATCAAAATTAAATGATATCTGCAGGAATACTGATTTACAAAAGAAATTAAGCAATGACTGGGCACGGTGGCTCATGCCTGTAATCACACTTTGGGAGGCTGAGACAGGAGGATCTCTTGAGCCCAGGAGTTTGAGACCAGCCTGGCTGATATAATGAGACCTTGTCTCTACAAATAATAATAATAATACAGAAATTAGCTGAGTGTGGTGGCAAGCACCTAGTCCCAGCTACTCTGGAGACAGGTGGGAGGATCGACAGAGCCCAGGAGGTGGAGGTTGCAGTGAGCCAAGATCATGCCACTGCATTACAATCTGGGTGACAGAGCGAGACTCTGTCTCAAAAAAATAAATAACCGATGCAGTGGCTCACCCCTGTAATCCCAGCACTTTGGGAGGCTGAGGCGGGCAGATCACCTGAGGCCAGGGGTTCGAGACCAGCCTGACCAACATGGAGAAACCCTGTCTCTACTAAAAAATACAAAATTAGCTGGGTGTAGTCGTGGGCACCTCTAATCCCAGCTACGTGGGAGGCTGAGACAGGAGAATCAGTTGAACCTGGGAGGCGAAGGTTGCAGTGAGCCGAGATTGCACCATTGCACTCCAGCCTGGGCAACAACAGCAAAACTCCATCTAAATAAATAAATAAATAGGTGGTAAATGCTTTGTAAATGACAGCTACTAGCTCTGTGTCTTTGCCCACGCTGTTCCCTCAGCCTGCAGGCCACCTGTATTCCTCAGCTGGTGGACTCCTTAGTCATCCTTGAATAATACAAACACACGTAACTGTCAAGCTCGTGCAAGTGCTTTATGTCCATCAGCTCCCTCGTTCTCCTAACAGCCCTGTGACATCCATGCTATTTATTATCTCCATTTTACAGATAAGTAAACCTCTGAGGTTAAACCCAGGCAGCCACGCTCCCTAGCCTGTATCCTTAACCACTACCCTATACGTTAATAACATAATGAATATATTGGCTGGGTGCAGTGGCTCACGCCTGTAATCCCAACACTTTGGGAGGCCGAGGTGGGTGGATCACCTGAGGTCAGGAGTTTGAGACCAGCCTGGCCAACATGGTGAAACCCCATCTCTACTAAAAATACAAAAATTAGCTGGGCATAGTAGTGCATGCCTGTAATCCCAGCTACTCAGGAGACTAAGGCAGGAGAATTGCTTGAACTCAGAGGCGGAGATTGCAGTGAGCGGAGATCATGCCATTACACTCCAGCCTGGGTGACAGAGCAACACGCTGTCTCAAACACTAATAACAATAATATAATGCATATGATAGTAGCTCACATAACAAGATCACAAGAGACAAAACTAGTTGTAGCTAATGCTTCCTGAGGCTTGCTGGAGCCAGGCCAAGGTAACTGCTACACAATCCTTATCTGCGAGGCAGGAGAGCAAATGGAGATTCTGAAAGACAGGGTCACAGAGGGTGGCAGAACCAGATCTGGACCTGGCTTGGCTGATGACAGATCTTTTGGGGATGACTAATCCAGATTCCCTTCTCACCACACCCCTCCCTGCCAGACTGACTGCTCCGCTCTCTCTTGAGCTCACTTGCTGCCAGGCCCCATGCCCCCGGCCAGGAACTCTCCTGCTGCCCTTTTTTTTTTTTTTCTGGCCTGGTTGTGTAGCTACTCAAGCTGCGGGTGTCAGCTCAGGAGTCATCTCTTCCAGGAAGTCCTCCCTGTTTCCACCCAACCTGAGACTAGGTGAGGCTTCTTCCAGTGATTTGTTTTCAAAATGACTTGTACTTTCTCATGGCACTCGCTGACAATTAACCATATCGTCATCTAGTTCTGGCCCCTAACCTCTTATTCCCGGCCAGCCCCAGGTGTCAGGACCCTGTCCTCCTCTCTGTGCCACTCATGCCATGAGGCACCTCCCCTACATGCACAGCTTAAATCCCATCTCTAGGCTATCGACACCCAGCTTTTTGTTTTGTTCTTAGAGGCAGGGGCTCCGTCACCCAGGCTGGAATGCAGTGACACGATTGTAGCTCACTGCAGCTAACTCCTGGCCTCGAGGAATCCTCCTCCTGCCTCAGCCTCCTGAATAGCTACTGCTACAGGCACAAGCTACCATGCCCAGCTAACACCCAAATTTCCTTTATCTTTTTTTTTTTTTTTTGAGACGGAGTTTCACTCATGTTACCCAGGCTGGAGTGCAATGGCGCGATCTCGGCTCACCGCAACCTCCGCTTCCTGGGTTCAGGCAATTCTCCTGCCTCAGCCTCCTGAGTAGCTGGGATTACAGGCATGTGCCACCATGCCCAGCTAATTTTTTTTTGTATTTTTAGTAGAGACGGGGTTTCACCATGTTGACCAGGATGGTCTCGATCTCTTGACCTCGTGATCCACCCGCCTCGGCCTCCCAAAGTGCTAGGATTACAGGCTTGAGCCACCGCGCCCGGCCTATCTTTTTTCTTTTTAAGTTATTTGTAGACATGAGGTCTTGCTGTGTTGCCCAGGCTGGTCTTGAACTCCTGAGTTCAAGTGATCCTCCCACCACAGCCTCCAAAAAGGTTAGGATTACAGGTGTAAGCCTCTGCACCTGGTCCTAACCCCCAAATTTCTATCCCCAGCCCAGACACCTCCCGCCAACCCCAGGCTCCTACATCCTGCAACATATTCAAAGGATCGAAGATCTTAGAGGCATTTTAAGCTTTATACATCCTAAACTGAGCTTTTTGCCTTCCTCTAGAACCTGCTCCCTCGCTGCCTTCCCCACCTAGATCAGTGGCAGCTCTGTCCTTCCAGTGACTAAGGCCAGACACCCAGGGTGGTTCTTTGCCTCTCTCCTTCACACCCACTCCAACCTGTGAACATATTGGCTCCACCTACAGAACCCAAACTCTTCCCCTCCACTGTCCCCACCTTGGCCCAGCCTCCATCCTCTCCCACCTGGTCACGCCAGCAGCCTCTCTGGCCTCCCTGCTCCCTTCTGTCTGCTCCCCTCGTGGAGGCAGAGGGAGCCTGGGACCACCTGAGTGAGGTGAGGGCCCTGCTGGCTCAGAGCCCTGCCCTGGCTATGCCTCACTTCAGGA